ACGGTGAAACCGGGGATCGGGGAGACCTCCGTGGGAGGAGGAGGAGAGGAGGAGAAGAGGAGGAGGAGGAGGAGGAGGGGAGGAGGGAGGGAGGGAGGGAGGAGAGGAGAAAGGAAGAGGTACGGACGGACCTAGGACAGAACATCCTTCAAGAACATGGGACCTCCGAAGGCCAAACTGAAGAACATTCGAGGGTACTCTTCACCAGGATGCACAAGAACACCCGGCAAACACGAAGAACATTAGGGCACCCTCCCCGAACCGACCTCGATCTTATACCTAGGTCCGACCGTATTCCCCGAGGCGGAGCAGGATAATGGATGAGGGCACAGAGGCATTAGAGGCGACAGGAAAACGAGGATGGCTCTCCTCTCGAAAATCAGCTCAGTTAAAATCTCCCGACCCCCCCCCCCCCCCACGGGATCCATCCCGACCCACTTCTGGAGCTGCGCCTCACGATTGGCACGAGGACCCCCAGAGACCAAAGGCAAAAAAGGCTGGGGGACACCTTGAAAAAATCATCGTTGCCGTCCGGGGAAACCGACGCGGTATCGATACCGCTACTCCCCTGGACCTCTCCTGGGGCTTCGCTCTGACCAAGCTTTCGAGGGTCATCCAACCGTGGCGACGCGGGCTCTCCAGCACAGGCAGCGGTGTCGGCATCTGCTCCTCCTCTGCTCGCCGTCTTGCTCGCCTCGACTCTGCTTTTTCCCGTGGCCGAGGTCGCGCAGACCCCGGCAAGCACCGTACGTTACCAGCCTGGAACATATCCCTATCCCTATGCTGGGCACCTCCTCATCACGATGTCAATCTTAGGGATTCCCTTGTTTTTTGAGGGCGAATCCCTAAGATTGTCATCGCCTTTTGGCGTGTCAATCTTAAGGATATGGATACGTTCGAGGCTGGTAAATACGTCCTGGGCCCGGCGCCGAGCCTCCTCACGGGCCTCCGGCCCGCTCTCCGGAACCTCGGCCTCGGTGCAAGCCACATCCCCTGGAGCGGAGCCGAAGCGGCGGGGCCGGCAAGGCCGCCGCCTGGCTCGCCCTCGCGGTCGATGTCGCGGGGGCCTTCCGCCCGTCGTGGCAGTCGCTCGCCGGAGCCAAGCGCCGATGGCCATCTCTACAAGGGCTCCCAGCTTCGCGCGTCGCGCTTCGCGCTGCGCGAAGTGCGAATAGCTTCGCGCTCTCGCGCCGCCTCCCAGGGGGGAAGAGGAGGAAGAGGAGGAATCGGAGCCGAACCGCGAAGCGCGGATAACTTCGCGCCCTCGAGGGCGCCCTTGTCTATACTGTCGCCGTTTTCCGTCGTGGAAGCCGTCGACGTCGTTGGTCGCGACGTCGTCGAGGTCTTCCGCCCGTCGCGGCCGTCGATCGGCAGCGCCAATCGCCGATCGCAGTCGGCCCCCGTCCTCCCTCGTGGGCGCCGCCGTGGGTCGCGACGTCGTCGACGTCTTCTGCCCGTCGTGGCCGTCCGTCGCCAACGCCAATCGCCTATCGCCATCGATCGTCGACGTTTTCCGTCATGGTCGTCGTTGTCGTCGTCGTTGTCGTCGCCGTCGCCGTCGCCGTCGTCGTCGTTGCCGTCGCCGTCGCCGTCGCCGTCGCCGTCGCCGTCGCCGTCGCCGTCGCCGTCGCCGTCGTCGTCGTCGTCGTCGTCGACGTCGTCGTCGTCCGCGGCCCTCGCCGTGACCGTCCCTGGCCGACTGCCGCCCAAGGCGCGCTGCGCCCCACGGCGCCCGAGCGCGCTGCACGACGCGGGCGGCGCCTTCCCGATCGCCACGCCGCCCCGTGCCCAAGGCTCCTATTCCGGCGGGCCGCACGTGCCCTCCGTCTCTGCCGCTTCCGCCCGAGGCCGTCGTCGCCCGAGGCCGCCGCCGCCGGCATGGTCGGCCCGGCCGCCGCCGGCGCCGCCGCGGGCCGCCGCCACCGAGAAGCCGTCGTCGCCGCCACCGGCGTGGCCGGACTGGACGTCGGGGCCGCCGCCGCCGCCGTCGCCGCCGCCGCCGTCGTCGCCGTCGCAGTTGCCGCAATCGCCGTAGTCGCCGCAGTCCTGTCGCCGCCTGCGTCGTTGGCGTCGTCTCCGTCGTCGCCGCCCCTGGGACGGTGACCAGGACACCTGTTGAGGGGCAAGGACACGGGGGGACTGGCAGACAGTAGGGGCTCGACCACAAGAAACCTGCCACAAGGAGCCCAACCCTGAGACCCCAGGACGTCCATCGATTTTTGGTGCGGGAGCACCACGCTTTCCAAATCACAAACCATCAAATCCAGGGCACCCTGGAGGCAAGTAGGGTGTTTCTTGGCACGGGTCTCCACTGTCGGGGAGCGGCACCTCGACCTGGAATCGGCGATGCATCGCCGATGGATCGGCGATGGGGCCCCCGAGCGAGTCCGCACGTTGCTGGGCAGGTTGGAGCTATCGGGCGCTCATCGGCGATCCTTGGGCGATCGGGGGTCGATGCAGCCCCCTATTTTTACTAGAACCACGCGCGCGCTTCGCGCGCGCTTAGGTTCTGTCGAGTCACAGACCCAGGAATCGTTGTGAGAAGAAATTGGTGACGCGAAGCGTCGTGGGGGCGTCCTTGGACGTCTGGGGTCTCCTGGGGCCTCTTGAGGGGCCTCCTGGGGGCCTCCTGGCGGCCTCTTGGGGCGGAAGGCTCGAGCTTGCGGTTCGTGGTCCCCCTCTGGGCCCCCTCTTGGGCCCGTCTTGGGGCCCTCTTGGGCCATCTTGGGCGCCTCTTGGGCCGTCTTGGGGCCCTCTTGGGCTGTCCTTGGGCCTCCTTTGGGCCTCTTGGGGGTCTCCTGGGGCCTCTTGAGGGGCCTCCTGATGGCCTCCTGGCGGCCTCTTGGGGCGGAAGGCTCGAGCTTGCGGTTCGTGGTCCCCCTCTGGGCCCCCTCTTGGGCCCGTCTTGGGGCCCTCTTGGGCCATCTTGGGCGCCTCTTGGGCCGTCTTGGGGCCCTCTTGGGCTGTCCTGGGGCCCTCTTGGAAGCTTCTTGGGCCGTCTTGGGGCGGTCTTGGGCGCCTCTTGGGCCGTCCTGTAACGTCGGAAAGCCCAAAAGACAACTTTGTTGAAAATGTACGTTTTACGAAGGGAATGGGCCAATTTTTGCATCTAGGGGCCCTCTTGGGACGCATGTTGGAGGCTTCTTGGGGCCTCTTGGGGGCGTCCTTGGACGTCTGGGGTCTCCTGGGGCCTCTTGAGGGGCCTCCTGGGGGCCTCCTGGCGGCCTCTTGGGGCGGAAGGCTCGAGCTTGCGGTTCGTGGTCCCCCTCTGGGCCCCCTCTTGGGCCCGTCTTGGGGCCCTCTTGGGCCATCTTGGGCGCCTCTTGGGCCGTCTTGGGGCCCTCTTGGGCTGTCCTGGGGCCCTCTGGGAAGCTTCTTGGGCGGTCTTGGGGCGGTCTTGGGCGCCTCTTGGGCCGTCCTGTAACGTCGGAAAGCCCAAAAGGCGACTTTGTTAAAAATGTACGTTTTACGAAGGGAATGGGCCAATTCTTGCGTCTAGGGGCCCTCTTGGGACGCATGTTGGAGGCTTCTTGGGGCCTCTTGGGGGCGTCCTTGGACGTCTGGGGTCTCCTGGGGCCTCTTGAGGGGCCTCCTGGGGGCCTCCTGGCGGCCTCTTGGGGCGGAAGGCTCGAGCTTGCGGTTCGTGGTCCCCCTCTGGGCCCCCTCTTGGGCCCGTCTTGGGGCCCTCTTGGGCCATCTTGGGCGCCTCTTGGGCCGTTTTGGGGCCCTCTTGGGCTGTCCTGGGGCACTCTTGGGAGCTTCTTGGCCCGTCTTGGGGCGGTCTTGGGCGCCTCTTGGGCCGTCCTGTAATGTCGGAAAGCCCAAAAGGCAACTTTGTGAAAAATGTACGTTTTACGAAGGGAATGGGCCAATTTTTGCGTCTAGGGGCCCTCTTGGGACGCATGTTGGAGGCTTCTTGGGGCGTCTTGGGGGGCGTCCTTGGACGTCTGGAGGCCATCTTCAGCATCTCGGAGCCCTCTTGGAGGCCTCTTGGAAGTTTTTTGGGCCGTCTTGGGCGTTTCTGGGGCCGTCTTGTCTGACCGGGGAGGCCTCCGGCAAGCCCCGACGAGCCTCCGGGCCCCCCGGGGTGCACATTTGCGGTCGAGGTCCCGGCCCCGGGCCCCCGGACCCGGTGCGCCGTTATATGTATAAGTCGGGCCTGTCCTCCTACAGGGAGATTTTGGACGGAAACTAGAAAATATTCAAACATACTCAGAAAAGGATGCCCCAAAATACTCAAAACATAGTCCTCATACTATTTTTCCGAGTATGTTTGAACATTCCCCCCTTAGAGGGACAGGCCCGACTCAGTCCTATTCTTACCCCCCCCATCGTTGCCCCTGACATGTGACACATGAAGTATGAAGGCGGACTACATCAGGCCCCCACGAGGAACGACTGAACACAGCAAGAGCACATCGGCCCTCGAGGAAGCATGGCGCTTGCGGTAGATGGGATCTGGGTGTTGACAACACCTGCCTTCTACGACCGTCGTGCACTTTTGATTCTGATGTGCCAGGCCAGGGCGGCGCATTGCTGCAAGTCCGTCGTGCCGGCAGAGAGGGGTTGGGCCTGCACCTGCAACGCAGACTCGCGCAGGACGCTGGCTGCTTGCGCTGCCGAACCGCGCGGCCCCAGAGCAAGAGCAGCAAAGCATGAGAAGGAGAGCAGGAAGTGAAGCGCAGTGGCTCGCAGAAAGAGGACACCGACCAGACACGGCGGCGACGATCACAGAACCCGAAGGGGAGCGCTCCAGAAGACCTTACCGCCGCCACCGCCATCGCCAGAAGCGCCACTCAAACAACCTTGGCACTGCTTGCAGCTGTCCACCTCGACTCTGCCCCCGGACGCGCTCGCTGGGTCTACGCCCCGTCGGATCACTCGGCCGTCGCGACACCAGAGCGCCGCAGCACGCGGCGACCTGTCGTACAGAGGGAGAACCTGCAGACGCAGGATCGCTCGGCACAGGCCCGTGAGCACCTCGGCGGGCCAGCACCCCGGGTGCGGCTCCTCTTCGGGCTCCCGCGCCTGGCCCTCCGCGGGCGACCCCGGCGGTCGTGCAGCTAGAAGAGAGCCAGTCGGAGTCGTCCCAGCTCGGGGCGTCGGTCGAGGGCGCCGCTCCCCCTGGCCTCCTTCATCCATGCCCTGGCGCAGGCGACGATGCCGTTTTTGTTTGTTGTTTAAGGGGCTTCAGCAAACAATGTTTGGTGCACCCTTTTATAATCGAAGTCTCCGCCACCCGGCGCTGGGCCATGAGTGGTAGCGACAGCACCCTAGATAGAGTCAGCGATCGTCATACAGGAGCCGTCTAGCCCGCGACTTCTCCGCGCCCCTCTTGACCCAACGTGAAAGCAATGTCCGTGTCGACATTCCCGTGCCAAAGCCAGGGCCATTTGCTGCGCGTCTCCCTGTTCCATGGGCACCTTGCCGTTGCCGCCTTTCCCGTCGAACTTCCCCCGCATCCTGCTGAGCGGCTCTATGACCTTGCCCGACGGGGTCTCGAATGGGGCGTTGGCTCCCAGAGCGAGGGGCCCTGCTTTTCTGTCGTTCTGCCCGAACTCGACTTCGTCCCGCTGCCCCCCTGTAGAGGCTCAGCCAGAGGAAGCCTGGACGGCCAATGTCCTCCAAGTTGCCTCGGCACGCGCCCGTCGGGTGGTCGTTGAGGCGCGCGGTCCAAAATCGATGACCTTGGCAGCCCGGGGTCGTCGACCTTGAACATCGCGTTGCCAGGGTTAAAATCGCAGTGGGAGGCGCCTGCCTTGTTCATCCCGTCGTAGGACAGGAACAAGGCCGCCGCCCTGACCTCACGCGTGAAGCCACTCTCGCCTCGAAGCGTTGGCTGGAGGCCCTTCAGGTCCTGGTAGCCCTCCAGGAACTCCATCGCCAGCAGCTGCGTGTCCGGGCACGCCAGGCCCTTCGCCCTGATCTGCGAGCGCGGGATCTCCACGGTTGTGTCGATGTTGCCGCGGTGGCCGTTGCACGCGTCACACAATGGATTGATCGTGCAGATGCCTGTACAAAGGAGCTTGTGGTCGCAATGATCTTTTTCCGAGAGCGTCATGGTCGCGGAATGCTCGTACTTGTTGAACTTGGGATCCACCTTGAGGTTCAAATAATATGCTGGCATGTCCTTGAAGCCGCGCTCTGTTAGATACTCGGCGACTTTCCGCTCATTCTCTAACGAGTGCAGGCCCATGGGATTGCGATTTGAATTCATCTCTTTTAGCACAGCTTTATTAAAAGGAGTGCCGCCGCCTGGCGGCTGAAGCTGGACCAACTTCGTGTTGCCCTGCATGCCTCCAGAGAACGTCTTGAGCGTCTCGCAGCCCCAACCCGTCCTCGTGTCGAGCTCTGCCCAAGAGCAATCTCCAGATTCCTCAGTCCACAACTCGCCAAGATCAATCGACTCCAGTAGCTCCTGAGTGTCGACCCGAGCGCCGTCCACATGATAGATCGCGAGTCTGAGAATGGCAACGAGAGCCAGGCAAGCCATCCGTTGCACACTGTGTTCTTCAGCACACACACACGCGCAACTGGGAATCGGGTATCGGGCACTCAAACTAACAAAACGTCTGCGCGAGCACAGCCTTCAGCCAAAACGGATGCACGCCATGCCGACGAAGACATTGAAGATGAAGAGAATTCCGAGGAAGCCTTTACTGGTGTTGACTCGGTGCCCAGGAAGGCGCACAAACGGCCACGAACCATGCCGACGACGACGATGCTGACGAAGGATACGCTGACAAAACATTCGCGCCGAAAGGGACTGCCAAACTTGACTACAACTGTACCCACACCTGTGCCGCCCGTCCAGAAAAAGAATCCGCAAGGTGCGGGTCGAAACTCTGGGCCACGACCGGACATACGCGGAAGGAAGGCACAAGACCTGAAAAATCAAGAAGGGGAAGCTGATTTCGTCCATGGGGCTCGTAAAGGAAAACAAGAGAAGGGTGATGCCTGTCACAAGGCGGCGGATGACGATGACAATGTGGATAACGGGGAGGGCAGCGAGGGAAGCATGAGGACAACGAGGAGGAAGACCAGCACAAGGACGAAGAGGAAGAGATGGAGGAGGACCAGCACGAGGAGGAATGGAGCGGAGGAGGAGGAGACGCAGGACGACGACGAAGCAGGACAGTGAGGAGCACGAGGAGAAGGACGTCCAAGGGGAGGGCTCCTCGTGATCTTTGAGGCTACCGTGGGTGACGTCGGGGCCATCTGGGGCTACCCTTAGGTCGGGCATGTCCCCCTAGAGTCGGATGTTGGACGAATAATCGAAAGATCGTCCACAGACAATGTCTTGACTATTCTTGAATATCCCTCCTGTAGTGGGACACGCCCGATTTAAGGCTACCATGGGGCATCTCTGGGGCTTCTTGGGGACCTTTCGGGGTCCTCTTGGGGGCTTCTGGGGTCTTCTTGGGCTGTCTGGGCGTAGGGTTCTGCGGAGTCTTTCTCAGATCGTTGTGGCGCCACTTTGGGCTGACTTGGGCCTCGGACGCTCTTGGGAACATCTTGGGCCCACCAAACGGTCCATACTGGAGGCGCTTCCCGTCATCGCTCTCGATAGAGCACCCGCCCGATGCCGGTGATGAGGGCGTGGAGCACGACGGCGAGGACGACGGGGAGGAAGAGGAGAAGAATGCGCCACCGTGCCTGCACGATGTGGACGCGTTAGACTGCAAGGTGCTGCTCTGCAGCGGTTCTGGATTCTCATAGAGGGACTCCCCCCCCCCTCGTCCCACAATGCCGCAACACCCCATGGGCCCGCGCTCCCGAGGCCGCGATCCCTGGATAAGAGCGATGGATCCGCGATCCGCGACCCGAGTTTGGTAGGCAACCGAGGACACCAACGTGGATGCATCCAAGAGAGGCTAAGATGGCGCCAAAGCGGCCGAGCATTGCCTCAAGGCGGCCCAGGGTGCCTCCCAAGAGGGCCCAAAAGGGGCACAAGAGGACCCCCCAATGAGAGCCCGAAGCAGCTCAAACCACGAGCTCCCCTTCCAGGCGCAGACACTCGGCATGACCCGTGGGGGGCGGCCCCCTCGCCTGGGTGCGTGGAGTAGGTGCGGGACGGGAAAATGACCACAGCCACTGCTTCTTGTTTGCGCCGCCTTCCAGCCGGCCGAAAAAAAGCCGGCCTTGTTTGGTGCCAAGTTCAACGAAACTGACCACAACCACTGCTTTGTTTCTGCGGGCTGGAAGGCGGCAACAAAAGAAAAGCAGCGGCTGTGGTCGTTTTCACGCCCCGTAGTAGGGACCTCCCCGGAGGACAAGATCCTTCGGCATCGAACCGGGAACTCGGATCGAAGCGAGCGCGCGCCGGATCGGGCTGCATATAGGCAAGAAGTCGAGATCGCATCGGATCGGCTGCGCCATGATGCACAACAGCGGCAGGCAAGCGTCGGGTCCTACCGGCTCGTCGGAATTTCGGAAGCGAATCGGATCGGGCCAGCCGAAGCCGATATTGGAGCAACAAAGAACGGCATAAGCATACACACATCGACTTTTGGAGGTCCGCGCGGACTTCTTGGATCTGCGCTGAACACCCCTCCCTGGCACGCGGAGCGCGCGCCAGGGGCGACGCAAGAGGCGCCGCCAGGGGGCCCATCGCCGATCCGAGAAATCCGCGCGGAGCTCCGAAAATGCCAGTTTATGGGATATTTTGTTCTTCGAGATGGGATCGGACCAACCGGATTGAAGTAGCTCCTGCGAGGGTCCCCACACCAAAGGCCCCAAGAAGCCCCCAAGCACCCCAAAAGAGGCCCCCAACAAGCCCCAAGAGGCCCACAAGAGGCCCACAACAGGCCCCCACACGGAGCCGACAGACATGTCAAAGCTGCTCCCAGGTAGTGCCCATGAAGCCCACGACGCCTCACCCGTGGACTCCCCGCCTCTTCTTGAGCAGAGACCGACCGTCCCGGCATTCCTATAGACCTACCACGGGATGTCCTCAGAATCCATACCTTTTCGAAGAACACAAACAATGTTCTTAGAACATAAGCCCGGTGTATGAGAACAAGACAGTGGCAGCCAGAAATGTCCTAAGCACGTGTCGCGCAAGCCACAAAACGGTTATTTCACACTCTTTGGTGGGCCTATGGGCCAGCCTGGTCGCTTCGCCACTGCTTGATCTTCTGGGGGCATCGGCGGAACGGCGCTAGCCTCTTGAGCAGATGCTTTCAGGGCCCCCACGCCCCGTGATGCAGACGCGCACAGGCAACCCCATCCTACCTCCCCGACGGCCCTCTCCGGGCACGTCGCTGCTCCTCCAGCTCCACGCCCTCCTCCGAGGCGCGCCCGAAAAACGAGGAGGGGGACGGCGGAGGCCGACACCCGCGAGGCAGATGGCGTGTTCTTTCTCCTCGCGCAGCCATGCTGGTAACCTGGCCACATCGCGACTCAAAACGTCGCTGGGCCAACCAGGAACGCCACACAAGCACACCCCTGCAGTAGGCAAACTCATGCCATGAACCGTGGCCTGGGCAACAGATCGGCAATGCAGTTGCCCTGCATGCATAGGGAGATCCCGCGAGGCCCGAACGGCCAACATCCCCAAAACGCAGCGCCGAGAATGGGACAAGAATATGACATGAAGGCAGAGGATGGCGTTCGGCATGAACCCGAGGATGAGTAATTGAAGCCACGCCCACGGCCCCGCCTCGATGGTAAGGTCGTCTCTCTTTGGATGTGTACCTCTACAGGTCGGAAGGAGTGTATATGTGGCGCATCGGGCATACAATTTCCAGGATGTGCCTCTGATGGCAGTTCGCGCCGCTGTAGCAACATTCCCTCGCCAATCCTCGAATTTGGCCTTGGGATGCTGAGGCATGGTACTTCAGGCAAACTGTAAAGCACCTGCCGCCATCCGAAGCGCCCAATGAAGTATGCGCATGTCAAAGGAGGAGGAGGTGGAGGAGTAGGAGGAAAGGAGGAGGAGGCAGACCACAAGGGGATGTAGGGAAAGGGTCGGGAATTACAGCCCAGCGGCTCATCCCGCCGCGCTGGCGTTGGGAAGGCGATCAGGAAGACTAGGAGGAAGAGGAGGAGGAGGAGGAGGAGGAGGAGGAGGAGGAGGGGGAGGAGGAGAAGGAAGAGACTCAGCCCCCTGATTTGTTTTTGCTGCGCGGGGTCCCAAGTGCTCTCGACCCAGCCCCCGGGACAATTTGTTTTTGTGCTGGTCTACTTTTTGACGACCTTGTGGGGCCTGGAGCGGCCCTCCAGAGGCTCAAGCTTGGGAAGGCCGCCGTTATCCTGTTTTTGCTCCAGGACGCTTGCGGCCTGGGGCTCAGTTCCAGGAGCGGCTGAAGTCGTCTGAGGAGGAGCCAGCGACACCAGTCTCAGATAACCCTCCGAGAGCTGCGGAGAACCTGCGGGCACCACCGAACTCTCCCAGGGCCCTACGGGAAAGCATTCACAATGCCGCCGACGCCGACGCCGACGCCGACGCCGACCGCGAGGAGAGCTGGACATCTGGGGGCCGTCCTGCCGCGCCGGCGTGGCGAAGGCGAACCCGGCCGGCGGCGCAAAGTGCACCTCGTCGTCGGCCGCCTGGATGGGAGGTTGCGGCGCCGCCGCGGCTGCTCCTCTCCTCATCCTTCTCCTCCCATACCTTCGCCCTCCCTCCCTCCCTCCTCCACGCCCTCCTCCAACTCGCTTTTTGTCCCGTCCCCCTCCCTCTCCCTCTCCCCTTCTCTCTCTGTCTCTCCCTAACTGTCCCGGTCTGATTGTTTTGTTGTCTCTCTCTCTCTCTCCCTTTTTCTTCCCTTCCCCCCCCCCTCTCCGCACTTACAAAAACCACCGCCGTGCCCAAAGGCACGACTTCAAGGGTCCTCAGGTCCTTGGCCGAATCCCGTAAGCCTCAGTTCTCAATCCTGACGATTCTTCAAAGGGTTCGGACTCCGAACTCGCAAATCTCTCGGGGCTCCCAGCGTGTCCTCTGGGCTCAGCCGGGTGTTGCCGCATTACTTTTTCGGGGCCAAGGGGGCCCGAGACGGGGCCAGATGTTCCCCAGAGGCCGCCCAGACGGTCTGAGGGTGTCCCGCATCGCCGCACGATCGGTCCAAGACACCCAAGATGGCCCCAAGACGGCCCAAGAAGCCTTCTATAGACGCCCGCAAAGAGCCCCCAAAGTCTTCCCTGCATGGGGCCCAAGCCATTGTGTTTCCTTAGGTAATGCACTGTTCCTGGGGGTTCCCCACTGTTCGGCGACGGTCCAAGACATCCAAAGAGGCCTCCAGTAGCGCCCCAAGACGGCTTCAGAGGGCTCGAAGACGGCCCAAGAGGCGCCCAAGACGGTCCAAGAGGGCACCAACACTAGGGAAACGAACACGGTCATAAACATAAAAACTAGGAGGTCCGCGCGGATTTCTTGGATCGGCGCTGGGCCCCCCTCCCTGGCGCGTGGAGCGTGCCAGGGGCGGCGCCGGAGGCGCCGCCAGGGGGCCCCAGCGCCGATCCAAGAAATCCTTGCGGACCTGAGAGTTGTTATGTTTATGCTATTGCTTGTTCCCCCCAAATTAGGGGAACGGAGCATGACATAAACTCAGAGGTACGCGCGGATTTCTCGGATCCGCGCTGGACCCCCGAATTTTTATGTCATTGCTCGTTCCCCTAACGGCGCTGGAGGCGCCGCCGGGAGCGGAGAGGAAATGAAGCCCAGTCCTTTTCCTCGGGCTGCCGCGACAAGAGTGACGCCACCTCTGCACCAGCACTGAGCACACACTGCAAGGGCAAGGGGAGGTAGTAACTGGTTTGGCATGGTCAGGAAGGGGTTGGATAGGTGAGCATGGGAAAGAGTAAATGGTGTGGATCTTGATCCAAAATGGTTACGACCCTTCACTTCTACCCCAGGGGTCCTGTGGGACATGATATCTCTCTGGAACATGGACGCCTCAGGACACAAATCTCTCAATTTCCTATTGTTTCTTAGTTCTTTGACAGATTTGGGCGTTGGCTTCAAAACTGCCTTCCGACACCCAAGACGCCCAGCCCAAGACGCCCAGCCCAAGAGGCCCCAAATATTGCCCCAAGATCGCCTAAGAGGCCTCAGAGATGGCCTCAAGACGGCCCAAGAGGCTCCCAAGAAGACCCCCAAAGGGACACAAGACATTACAAGAGGCCTCCACGACGCCCAAGATGGCCTTCAAGGCGACACTGAAGCGCCTCGAGAGTACCCCAAGACGGTCCAGAGAGGCTTCCAAGGCGGCTTCTGACGGCGTCAGACAGGCCAGGAGCGCCGTAAGACGGCCAAAAGGCCCCCTGAGAAGCTCCCAACGACTCCGAAGAGGCCCAAGGAGGCCCCCAAGAGGCCTCTTAGAGGCCCCCAGAATGCTCCCGGAGGTCCAAGAATGACCATAGAAGCTCCCCGCAGGCCTCCTCATCCTGTTCGTCCTCCTCATTGTTCCTCCTTCTCCTCATCCTCCTCTTCTTCCCCCACGTGTTCCCCGAAAAGCTTCCACAATGGCTGGGGGAACGCACGGTCCTATAGCGTGGCCGAA